TTCTACTTAAAAAGTAAGTTAAAAAACTTCCTCTTATAATAATTCTCCTTCTATAGCTTAGTTATGGAATTCTTGGCAGAATTAATAATTATTGTGTCTTGACTGACAATAAAGCTGAATGATCATTTTGTTATGTCAAAAATGGTTATTTTGATATATATATTTCATCGTATTGAGGTATTTTGAATTACTGAAAAGTTTGAAAACTTAATTCTAATTGATATGTTAAAATTATCAGCAAATTGATTATCAGGACTATGGAAATCCACTTTTGGTACGTCAATTTCCAAGAGTGACATTAGATTATATTAAACTAATGATTGATTTTAAGCTAATTTTTATTTATAAAAATATATATCAATCATTTATAATGATTTTTTATCAAGTAATATTTGTATTAACTATTTTAATTATAATTAATATGCTGATTTTTTAAATTAACACTTAAAAATATTTTTTGATTTTTTCTTATTATATTGATAAGTTCTCATATGCATATTAAATATAAATGTTAAATTTATTTTTAAAAAAAAAATTATGAAGAATATAATACATAAATTAATATAAAAAACAGCCTATAATTATAATAATAATATTTGTAATCATGGCTAATATATAGATGCAAATTGCAATATAAAATTAAATTTTAATTTTTGTAATATTTATTTTTTAAAATCAATTTAAAATATATAGAATGATTAAAGTTCAGTATGATCAAGTTACAAATCAAGTAAAAAAGTGGGTTTTTCTAATTAGAATCATTAATAAATCACTTTATCAAATTCTTTTTTACCAATAATCCTAAAAAATTTACTGCATTATCTTCATATTTAAAATAGATTATTAAACCAACCTTACAATCTTTAAAGGCTCAAAAAAAAGACAGCAAAGATAAACATATTTAAGCCCTTTAATATGTAAATTGAAAATAAAAATTATATTTTTTTTTTTTACAAAAAAAAACTAGTAATAAAACAAAAATTTTTAGATTAAAAATTAAATAGGTAAAATGATATGTTTTTGATAAAATCTAAGTATTATTTTTGTTTTTATTTATTTTTGAGAAAACAATTCATATTGCTTTCAAATTTCATTATATGGTGGGACCTTTGTCAATAGAAAGGGGAAACTGCCGGAAAAGTCAATTTTACTTTTATATACCAAATATGATTTTTAGGCTGAAATACTGTATGTTCAAAATTAGCATTTTATTTCCCGGCAATTTCCCTCTTTCTACGGTTTGCTATTATAATGATGTTTGGACCATATGATTTACTATGTCTCGTAACCTGATTTTATAGCAAATGACCCATATATCTGGTCTATTATATAAATATTTTGCATTTACTCTCTAGTTGAGAAGTAACTTATTATTGAATTTTATCGCTAAGATAATATAAATAAAGAAATCAATTAAATTCATTTACTATTACCTCTCCTTATATGTCCATATTTGGATGATCGACAGTGTTTGGAAGTGACATGGTTATTTATTTATTTTTTTTTTAAACGTCGGTGGGGATTCAAAGCATATAAAGTTTGATTCTGCATAGATAAGACGAAAATGGTAAAACTTTATGAAAAAGAATTCTTTTATTTCATTTATTATTATTACATGAGTTTTATATTACTTCTTTACAAAAAAAAAAAAAAAAAAATCTAATTATTGAATGTAAATTAAAAAAAAACCCTTTATGGTAATATTCTTCCTCCAAGTAATCCTTTATCTTTATTATCTCCATTTTTAGAAGAGGTACTTGGTCCACAGCCATAATTTTTTCCTGAACATCGACGTTTGGTTAATCTTTAAAAATAGCAAGGAATAATAAATCATTAATATTTTTACCTTTTCAAAATCTATAAGTTAACAGAAAATAAAATCAATTACTTACAATTCAGAATTGACATTTCGTATGATATATTTATCAAATTTAAGTGGTAAACTTGACACCACGGAAAATACAAACAATAAAGTGATTATGAAGGTGAAAGCGGATAACTTCATTTTTAATTAATTTAAGTTATTTTAATTTTATTTTGAAAAAGGTTAAAGATTTTTTGAGTAAAAAATAAAAATATATTTTATTTTTTAACGTTATCACTTCAAGCTTAAAGAGGAGAGGGTATTTATATTTTCTGAACATATAGAAAGTAATCGATCTAGACAATCTGTTACTTCGTAAGATACTTTTTTTTTTTTTTTTTTAATGAACTCTTCATCTTGTATTCGTCATTTCCCTATCGGTCCACATGCAAATTAAATTGAAATTTCACAACGTCCTTATTTGCCAAAAAAAATTATATAATAATCTATTTTAGGATTGAAACATCGATCGGTTGGACTTAGCCTTCTTGCAGATATTTGAAATTAACTAAATACGTTAAGTTCACATGAGCATTTAAAAAGTATTTGAAACTTTAGCTTTAGAATGGATTTCTTTTTTTTTTATTTTTAAATTTCCAATTGAAAGTAAAACTACATTTGAACTTACGAAAATGCAAGTTATCATTGGATTTTGAATCAAAAATATCTTTTCTTTGTTTATATAATGATTTGTAAAATCCATTTTTGTTGAACAAATTGACGCGTTATTGTAGTAACCGTTTGAAGTATAGTAAGGATTGGCAAATTACAATTACGATTATTACCAAAAGCATCAAAGTCTAATTCAAAAAAGGAAAGAATTAATAGGAATGCGAACTACAAAGAAATTCATGCTACACAATTAGTCGTCTTGCATTTTTATTTTTATTTCTTAAATAGATTTATTCACTAATATTTTTAGATATATAATGTAAACATTTATTTATTTATTAATTTTTTTAAAAAAAAGTCAATTTTTTCATATTTACAACCATCTGTAATCTTATTTCTTAGTGGATCGATTGTTCCAGGTTTATTTTATTAAAGAAAAAGTTTTTTTATTAATGCATATAAGATAAAGAATTTCGAATTCAACCACATCAATTGGTGTTTTTACCCATTTTATATCGTTTAGCTCTATACTTCAACGTTATACAACAATGTTACACTACCCGGGAAAAATAAGGTAACGGAATTCGAATCTTAAATTCAACACAATGACCTTCCAATCTCTGAATAATGCCTCGTACAATGTATCATCCCAGCTTTGTAAAAAAAAAATATATATATTTCATTGGCACATTTTTTGACACGTCTTTAAATATTTATTTTCCCGTAGCCATATTTCTGTTGTATCAGATATTTCTAAAGCCTACATAATTATTGTCGAAACTTCGTTAAAATTTAAAAGAAATAGAGAAGCGGTCGGCACTTAAGCATTTTGACCGTGCATTATTAATTATACCAAGCATTGGTGACAAACATCAAGGAATGTAAGCAAATTCCTTTCACACACAAAATCACGCAATGCAATAAAGACAATGTGAATTCTATCAAAATTGATCGAAAGTAGGGAGGATAAGCAATTTATGAATTTTAATGCCGGTTTTCAGAAAAAGTAAGAGATTTGTTTATTCGTTATTAGTTCAATATTAAAGCGTTCTTACTTTAATCATTATTCATAATTTGGCATGACGTGTTTGTATTTTAATACGTTGGACTCAATAGAGGTTTAATTTTTAACCGGATATTCAATTAAGTACAATTCCAAGTTTTTTGTATAGTAATTTTAACTCAAAAAATAAAAACCACTATTTTTTTAAGTTATATATTTTTTCATAGCAAAATGAGCTTTAAGAAGAATATTATCGAACGCTTTGCAGTAGAAAGGGAAAATAATTTTTTTTAAGTTAATGTTAAACTCTGGAATATATAACTTTAAATATTATTTTAAAATTTCAAATAGATTTGTTCGTTTCCTCTCTAATGCAAAGCGCTCAGATATTAAAAGAATCATTCATTCATTGCGAAAAAATAAACTTACATATTATTGGCCGCCGAAGTGTTCAAAAACTTCTATCGAATGCTTCCTTTTAATAATCGGTTGTTAATATTGCGGCTCAATTCCAATGATATACTGTTTTATTGAACATCGAAATAGAAAAGGTTTTTGAAATCCGATTAATATCATAAACAAGTTGTATAATTAAGATATGCTAATATGATAGATTAAATAATCACACAAATACGATTATAGATTAGAAAACTAGAACAAACAAAGAGAAGGATATTTACATATAGGGTAAATATCAACAATAATTAGCTATTAGTTATCATGAGGTATCCCGCTTACTTTTTGTAATTCAACAAAGCAGTATATACAAAAATATCAAAAAAATATATATATATCAAAAATGTCTATTTATTTGGAAAGATACATAATCACGATTTTTGGATTAGTTAAATCTTAAATGTTCATATCCTAGGATAAAAAATTAATGCAAAATTAATTCTTATGTTATCACGAATATATTGAAAAAGATTGATCAATTCAAATCAAGTAATCAAATATGTGATTCGATGTGAATGAATTATAGCAAAGGTGTTTTCAGGAAAGGAGTATCTGAGTTGTCATTTACATAACAAAAATCGTTTTCTTACTAATCTTTTCATAGTAAAAGTGTATTATTAAGTTTTGTTTTATAACATTGATTAAGAAATTGTGATCCTATGAATCGAAAATAAATTTATTTAATAAGAAAATAAATTAATAACCTTGTAAATAATGTTAAAGAAATAATGTAAGTGTCAAGTATGTTTTACTATCATAAGAAAACATCATTGTGATTTAAAATTTATTTTAAAACATTCTAATTCTACATACCACATAATGAAGCACGTCGCTATTTCCGGGTCAATTGTTACGTACTGCATTAGGTCAATCGCATGCTAATTGTATTTTCCAAAATCATGAAAAAAAATTTTTTTATTAATATATTTATTTTATTTTAGAAAATTTCTAAAAAAGGATTTCATGTTTTTAAAAATCCTTGTTAAATAGTTAAAAGCAATGTAAATAAAAAAAAAAATACAACTTCAATTTCTATTAGTAATTATTTTTATCCCAAAATAAATTCTAAATTGATAAATTTGAATAATTTAACGTTCTATCTACTCGTAATAAAGAAAATGATCTACTCGTATAAATAGCTTCTGAATGAGGTTTTTCGGCATATTCTGGACCAAGTTTCTTTAAATTCATTAACTCATGTCTTCTTATTTCAGCCCGATTAAATATTTCAGAATATATTTTTTCAGAATGCCAATGGCTTAAAGTCTTACATATTTCTGTTATAGAAGGTCTTTTTAATGGATTAGGTTCCCAACAATTTTCCATTAAATCAGCAAACAATTCCGGGGTATCTTCTGTAATGCCAGGACGTAACCCGTTAATAATGTCAAGTATAAGTTTACTATTGTGCTCCACGTAATCAAAAGCTCTACAACCCGTTGTGAACTCCCACATGATCATTCCCATACTATAAATGTCGGATGCTTTAGAGTATTTAAACTTTCTAAATATTTCAGGAGCGATATAAGGCATTACACCATATATTGTGTCTTCCGGTAAAATATCATTTGCAGGTTTTAATAAACCTAAATCACCGATTTGCCATTGATTTTTGGAGTAATTGGATTTCACAAATAATACGTTCGCACTATGAAGATCTCGATGCACAAAATCCGCGTTGTGAATAATTTCAAGCCTGAAAATAAATCAACAAAAAAAAAAAATATGAATAATCACGATTCAATGAAAAATAATATTACAAAAAGTTACGTACCCTATTGAGATTTGATATAAAATATACAACTTTCTATTCCATGTGATGTCATGAAAATAATTTTTTAGATAACTATGTAAATCGCCTCCTGATGCATATTTCATAACCAACATGTGATCTTTAGTTTCGGGGTCTCTCGTGATCCCATAACACCTGATAACATGATAAAATTTAGAACAATAATGATGTGATTTTACTTCATTTAAAAACTCTCCGATAGAATTTTGAGAATTTATGATTCTTTTTACAGCAACAATCTTGTCTGATTTTCTATGACGATACTTTTCATCCGTCCAAGTTGCCCGGTATATGACACCAAACCCGCCTTGTGCTATTTTAATGGACTTTGTGATTTGAGATGATGGGATCACTTTAATTATGGATTTTGGGGAAACCCTCTTATGAATAAATTCATAAATATCGGACGGATTAAAATCCTTATCAATATTATTTACATATTCGCCAATTTGGAAGAATTTAGATTTACGAAGATATTCGTCCAGGCATCTATTCCCACTACTAATTTTCGCATTATCAATAATGACTCTTAAATTTCTTTTGCATTTTCTACATTGAGACTCATCTGTCAATCCAAAAATAATGTTTGTCGTTAAACAGTATCTGCATCCCGTATAAAATACATAACAACTCGCACAATATTTTTGACATTTTGACGTAAACCTTAAGATTTGATTACATGCGATACAACAGTAGGAATTGAACCACCACGGCAAGTAAATAATTAGCGTACGTTTGTCGGACAATACCTCATAATAAATCAGGTAACAATCGGAACACAATCTGAAGTCGATAAACCTCGAAGGAATTCGTCGATTAGTTAACTTTCCACACAACTTGCAATACTTTTCACTCTCGATCATCTTATTTTTAATGATGTCGTCATTATTGAAGTTATTGGAGTTATAAGTGACGAAATATCGTGTCGGTACTTGCTTAAAGCACCACTCTTGAACGGTGATTGGCGTCGTCGTGTATGCATGTACATCCAAATGTTTTTTATAATCGGTTACGTTGTTGATATAACGCGATAAGCACCTTTTGCAATATTTTTGGTAAAATAATAGCGTTTCGGAATATTTATCATTGCAAATGTAACAATTAATATCCCTATAATCAAAAGGGACAAATAAAAACTTTTTAGGGCTAGATATTAATTTTGGCGTTGGATCACAAGGGTCATTTGCATTTAACGGTTTCATCTTGTATTATGCATTTAAAATCATTGTAATATCCGCACTATTTATACTAATTGAAATTATCAAACTGTGATACAGATTTATTTTAAAGTCTGCATATCTTCCGTGGACCGAAATTCTTTTGTTTTCCTTTTTTTTTTAAAAAAAAAAATCATAACAAAGACCCAAATATTTTTATCAAAGCTCTATTTAGATATTATAAAATCGTGTTTCTTTCATATTTTACTTAAAAGAGGTTTCCATTGAGGGGCCTTCATTACTTAATGAATGTGAACCGTATGACCAAATGAGAATACGGCAGTGTACGCAATTTCTCATATCCATTTTGTGTACATAATATATTCCTTCCCACGGAATATGCGTTTGCAAATGATGCTAGTATTTTTTTGAAAAATTGAAAAATGTGGGGAAGTAAAAAAAAACTGTGCCATATAAAAAAAAAAGTTGAAATTTCTAAAAAAAATAAAAGCAATAATAAAAAAAAATAAAAACGAATCATTAATTACATCCACACACAATATCTAATAAAATGCTTTATTATGTCCTCTAATTGAGGTTTGTACTTGGTTGGTTGTGAACCAAACCATATTTTTTGTACAACAATGATTTGATAAGCAAATCACAGAGGTCACAAGTATCATAATAATTTGTGCATGTATATACAAAATTCAATATCTCTAGTGTTCAAATAAATAAAAAATATTTGGACAATAATGAATTATTGTGTCTCTCATGTTTTATTTTCTTGCTTAAAGTATTTCCTTTCCTTTATCATGTATTGTTCTCTTTGTATGATCATTGTCTTTTCTTTCCTTTCGATCATATTTCTTCATATAGCCTTGATTATTTTATGAAGTATTTATTTTGATGTTATTTTATATATAAATTTTTTATATAAATTAGGCTCTATCGTTTAGATAGAGAAATTTGATTCTCTTTTCTAAAGGCGCGCCGATTATTTAGTTGGTTGGTTTCTTTGTGCATTAATTAATAAATTCTTATTCCTCTTAATTTCCTTAATCTGCCCTATGAAAATTAATGTCCGGAATTTGTCCTTAAAAGTTCCGGAGAACAAATTCTGGATTTCGATATATCAGATCCACGTAACAAAACTTATGTAAGCTATAGAAATTCTACCATAAATGTACTCTGCAGGTTGAACGACAAGAAAGGTTTATTAATTATCCTTTTTAGAAATTTGTCTAGTTTTGATGGAACTTTTCATGTCCGGAATTTATCCGGTCTGGAAATTCGTATATGGATGAATTCCGGATGATTAAAAATTCCTGATATCCCAAAAATGTAATTTTAGGTTAATTATAATGTATCACCCAAACAAGCAATTAGTATCTACCAATCAAAAACGCTAATTTAAAAAAATAAGCTACGAAATCAAATTCTCAAAAAAAAAAACAAATTACATTAATATGTCAATATAAAAAAAAAAAGAAAAGAACAATTCGAGTGTCACAAAACTCATAAGAATTATAAATTTTTCAAAAATTCATTCAGCAAGCAATATATATCAAAAGTAAAGACACACATTTGCACAACAAGGAGTTAATGAAACTTTCTTAAGAAACTTCTCCTTACGTATTGATATTTATTTTGTTGCAAAAAAATGATGTTTTTCCTAAACGTGGCTACTTGGGAATCTGGTTTGCCATTAAAATATAAACAGCAAGAGTACTTTCATTTTGCCGTCTAATGCTAGAAAAAAAGCAAAACATATTATCATGTATGATAACTAGTGATTTATTTTAATAGAAAGCCGAACAATATCATGTGACGTGAATCATAACACGACCGGAAGCTTTCACCGAAGGTATATTTTCATTTTTTTTTCATTACTTTTTTTTTAAGTACAAGACTCATATATTTTGTTTTTTATACACAATATAAAAATGACCAACGACGAATGTTTACCTGAAACTTTCTTAGTTTCTTTTCTTTGGTTCACCAAAGATAAAGAGAAATTTTCCTGTGGCCTAATACCAGTCTATCCAGCTTTATTTTCCTGTGAAGAAATTGTCATAGCGGGTAATGATGGACCGAGTGGTCTTTTGAATGTAACCTTGAAGGTCGAGATATCGGACGTATTGTCTGCCCTTATCATAACCGGTTTCCAATTTATCCTGAAGAAATTATTAAAGCGACCAGTGAACTTTGAAGCTTAGCTTTGATGTCATTATACCTTGTTGTTAGCTGCAAGATTAACATTATTAAAAGATCGTCAAAAATTGATCTTCAAATTTATAGTTGACTTATTTGACA